ACCAGATATGGTGTGAAATGTTCCCAGAAGGCACTCTTAAGGCCCACACACTCTTAAAACAACTGAAACCGGAGCATGCATCACTACAACCCGTGAGTGTGTCAGTGCTTCTAAAAACAAAAACAAAAAAGACTCTATGCATTAGTCTTAGAGCAGGACACACCACATGACTCACATCAAGACGTAGGATGCGAGAATACACATTCTTATGTGACATTTTAAATGTAAATTAATGCTAATTCTTGATGAAAGGGCTCTTCAATTATATTTTATTTACCTATAGAAATGCTGGCACATACATGGATGATAGGTCTAACAATGAGAGATACACTCCAACTGCGATCTCCTTCACTGTATTTTATACATGTGTTTTGTGCTTTTGGTCTTAAACCCTACTGTTTCGGGGTCTTTAGGTGTTGACACTTTGATTTAGTACATTTAAGACAAGTTTTTAATAGGGATGGCTTAATACAACTTTTTTATGTCCAATAACGATTCTATAACTTGAGGTATCTGTTGATACAGATATCAATACTGGATGGATGGATGGATGGATGGATGGATGGATGGATAGATGGATAGATAGATAGAAGGTAATTAGTAGGGAGTAGGTTGTCGTTGAAAACAGCTTGACAGCATGTAAAGCATGTCTAAAACAACTGCTGTGAAAGGAGGAAATATATCGAATGTTTCATCACCTGCAGGGAAATAGCCGCCCCACTTTGTAAGGGTAGGTAAAAGTAAATACACAGTAACTGGATTAAATTACAACATTTTTTTCCTAACGTAACATGATGTGGTAGGAAATTAAATGTTAGCCTGTGATTTTGCAGTTAATTGTGCACGGGATCAGCTTTCAGTGCAACCGGACAAGTTAGATTATACTGTCTGAATTAAAACAAAGCGTGAGGTCGATCACTTTTTGTGCGCAGTGACCTGTAGAATAAAACACCATATAAACTTCTCAGGGTCCTCAGTCAGTAAACATTTAGCTCCTTTGACTTTCTCCCATCAGTGAGTAAACGTTGGGCTTGGCTTGAGCTCCCAGCACTATGGGATGTCCGTTTCATTTATTACTCATTTGTGTATGTCACTGTAATTTAAACAATAAATAAACAAACCAAAATAATATGTTTCATATGTGGCCACATAAAATCAGAAAAACGATTAAAATAAACCTAAACATCTAGTACAGCTCAGGATTTAAACTATTCCCCCTAGGTTGAAGACCTGCAAGAAGTGTTTATATGATTTTAGACATTCATAATGTTGCAAAATTAATTAACACATAATAATTGTGATAATCGTAATATCGTGATAAAGTCTCTGACAATAATGTAGTAATGGACAGTGCACAAAGACGGTGAAGAAAAAAGGTGCAGCCAGGGTGGAACAGATGAAGACCAGCGTCATGGCATAATTAAAATTTGTTACAACAGGGTTAACACTGTGGTACACGGGGAAATCAGACAGCTCCTCCTGCCTGAAAAGACAAATTCTTCCACACTGTACCTTTCAAACATGGATTTGTATTATCATGGCTAAAACTTTCTTCATGGCACTGTTACCTTTTATGATCTATCATATATTTCCACCCGTCCATAGTCTAGATGGTAGTTTTTAACAGGCAGACACATAAAACAGAAAGCTGATAATCTCCAATCCAATATGCTGCTTTTTTAAGGCTCAGCTGTAGCACCTCAGGTTGAACCTTCATTTTCATTTCTGAAATAAAAGAAACCCCTAAAGTGAGAACAACAGAAGCCTGGTCACAAGATTGAAGCTAGGTTTGCTTAGTACATATTAGCTGTGAAAGACCAGGGCCAGCTGTTACCTGTGATATGTAGAGCTGAGGAAAAAGCTTTTATGTAAATGAAAAAACATGTTTCGCTGAAGCCGCGTGTGCCAAAAACCTTGCTATAAAAAGATAATACTTCTGCATTGGAAACAGGGAAATGGTGCTATGACGAATTGCGAATATACAGTTTAAAATCAGAGTAACATCCTCTTTCAGTGTGGTGCCGAAAAAACCACACCGAAAAAAGACAACGGTATTTTAAACATATATATTAACATTAACAATAATATGTGAAACATATTTTTTATAACTTGATTCAACACTTACCATCAAACTAAGGGAATACTGGAGTGAATCTACTAACCTGAAGTACCGAGTAAGGTTTTGAAGTACCCTTTAATTGTTCCCACTAATATTCGAAAATCAATTGCAGTTTATTTAATTATAACTGGCAGCCATGTATTTATAGTAGGAGCAATCAACAACCTAAAAATAAATGAGAAAGAGAAAGAAAAACAAACTGACCTAGCTGAGATGAGTGCAGGCCTTGAGTGGACCTCCTCCTTCTATCAGCTCTGTGTTCCAGTTCCGCCCAGACCTCTCCATTAGCTGCATGTGAACTGGAGCTCCATTCTGGCTCCAGTTGCTGGGGGGTGCTGGAACCCCATGGACTGTGCGGCGTCCGGTGGCTACTTCTCTCCCGTGGGTTGGGTGGTGGTGGAGTCAATGGTAAGGGCTTACCTTCTTGGTACTGCAGAACTAGATCCAAGAGTGGTCTGGGGAGCAGCTCAGAGGGTGAGAAGGAGATGAGGTCATCTACTACTGGGGGGTCTGAATGAAGAGGCTTGGGGAAAGAGATCTCCGGTTCGGAAGGCGTGCGGTCTCCTAGGGAAGGGTGATTAGTTCGAGGGGGCACTCTTGGGGGGACATCAAGGCAGCGACCGAGTCCTATTGAACCCAGGAGGGAGGCGCTGCTAAGCAGGGCTCGGTGTGTGCTCTTTACCAGGCCACGGTGGGGGACTCTCTCTGACCTGGGAGAGCCAGCCGGGGAGTAACCACCTTCCTCACTACCAGAGTCTCCCTGAGGTAGAGGAAGCCGCAAGCTGTCCTTCACTGAGGTCCCTTGAATAGAGCGAAAGATAAAAAAAAAAAAAAAATGAAGTAGACTTTCCCGAAGACAGCATAAAAGAAAGACACAGATTTAAAAAAAAAAACCCAAAAAACAACACACTTAATATTTATGTAACTATTAAGAATTCACACTGTCAATGGACCGTAATTTCTGGACTATAAGTCACTCTGGAGTATAAGTCGCACCAGCCAATGGATGAAAAAAAGTGCAGCTTACAGGAGCTGTAGATACTGGTACACAAGTGTAGACTGCCTTTTCACGGCTGTTAGTATTAAAATAACAAACATGTGAAATTATTATACTCCAGAAAATATGGTAGGTGATTATAGTGACAACTGAAATATGCAACGGACTGTTGTTAAAGTAATGGATGGAATGAGTTACCATTCTGTGTAGATGGAGGAGTTGGGGTGGAGGGCCTGTACTCCTCAAAGTCATCCTTGGACTCCCCATTCTCATTGCTGTCCGTCTCCAAGAGTTTGGCTCTCATTGAAAGACTAAAAAACACAAATGAAGTACATTTAATAATGATTCATCTTGATCTTAATAGATTAAGATGAATCTTTAAAACATTAATATGATAAATCTGATTTTCACATTTACATTTTCAACTGAACAAATCTGAAACATACCATGCACAATTAACAACATTTAAACATAAACATCTTTCTAAACATCTCTCCTGTGTGGTGGAAGCTAATAGGGAAGGCCTCTGCTGCTATAATCTAATGTTGGTCAACATGGTGGTACTTAGAGAGCTCAATCGTTTCTTAGGTGGTACAGAGTCTAAAACGTTTGAGAAAGCCACATTCACATGAAAAAAAAAACTCAGATGAAAAACTGTCTAATTAAAAAGAGTTCACAATTCTATTGGTTTCAGCCCCCCTTCTCCGGCGCCTTGTTCATTTCTGAATCAAATTTAAAATTCACTAATTTGTTTTGAACGTTCAATGTTTTACCCTTACTAAACTGACCTTCTTTTTCAAGGAACATAAGAGGTGATCAAGGTTTTAATCAGTTTTGGGTCCTTAACTTTGGAACAAGCAGACCCTATCCCTCAGACATGCTCCTTCATTTGCTATTTTTAAGTTTATTAACACACTCTTATTATTTGGCTTTTAACCCAGAGTGAGAATTTCATTTTTATCTACCAGGGTTTTTTCTGCCTTATTTTTATCACTTATTGCTTTAATTTTTATATGTTTTATTGTACAGCACTTTGGTCAGCCAAGCTGTTCTTTAAGTGCTTCATAAATAAAATTAGTGGCATGGTGTGGTTCAAGGTGAACTTTGAAATACAATAAAAACAAGTTGTGAAAATGTGTAAACAAACGGAAACAACAAAACCGGTTTTCATCAGTTCAGTTACTGAGCCTTGTTCTCCACTGGTAATCCGTGAGAGAAACACTCTCAGAGAGGAAGTTTAGACCCTCCTTTCCTGGCTCCTTCATCCACTCCTTGGAGGAATGCCTAAACATTCTCAAGCCAGTCTGGAAATGTGATCTCCTCTAGCATGTCCTAGGCCAGCGTCAGGATCTCCTCCCAGATAGGTGTGCCAGAAAAATTTCCAAATGCCCACCAATGCCTCTAGTTTAAGCTTTACACAGATTCCTGAGTTCAGGGCCAGTGATTGTGACCTGCCAATCAGTGTTGGCCAGGCCTTTACCCAATGGAGCCTGGTTGTGCTAAGCTTAAAACAAGGACATGAATCCACCCCTCAGTAGAGCTATCACCTGCAGGAAGGGTCAAATTTGCCTGGAGAAGTGTAGCTTGAGCAGCTACTGTGGGGCTTTGGTGGTTGTGGTGCTAAATTTAGCCTGATTCATTTATTGCTGCTTAAATCTGTGTATCGTCTGTGTATACACAAAATATCAAATAATACTGGTTAATATTCTCCATCTGGCAATTCAAATTTGGAAAGATAGGGGCAAAAAATTGGCAGAAATAGTTTTAAAAGATAAAAACAATATAACCCTTCAAGGATGGTGCTGAGATAATTTAAGTACAAAGGGTCTTAACATAAAAAGATAAGACCGGCTGTACCTGTTTTCCTGAGGACTAAGACGCAGAACTTTGGGACTTTTAGGACTCTTAGGGCTCTGGGGGCGCCAGTGGGGGCCCAACCTCAGGTCTCCGTTGGTGTGTTTGAATGAAGGCACGTCAAGGGGCCAAACAGGGCTCAGTCCAAATGTTTTGTTGTTGTCACTGGGACTTACTGCGAATAAAATGACAAGAAAAATAAAAACGTGAATTTCACAAGACAAAGAAACAGAACAATCAGGTTTGTAAGTATGTATATATTATGTATATATTTGCGTATGTGTATATATACGTTAAGTACTTGAAAGTAGAAATAATTGTGTTTTTACATAAACAGATATCAAAAACAAAAGTAATAATAAAGATGTCTATCAAACAAGTAAAACAATTTAAAACTTAATGCCTAACACTTAAAGAACTATCATTTTATTAAAAAAGGCTGTGAAAATAAAAGTTGACAACCATCTCAAAACTTGCCACGGAAAAAGACAAATAATTGTTCTGCCCAAAAACTAAGAAGCTGTCAACGAAACACAAAACAAACTAAACAAAGACAAGAAAGGAATTCAATTTGTAAAAACAAACAAACACGATAGACACATAGACAGTCACAGAGACTGCATGTATAAGACATTATTGTTACCTATGATTTAAATACTGCCTTACATGTACTTTCTCATCATCTCAACCAATATGTCTAGATAGTGAACATACACAAGTTCAAAACCTTAAGACATGACCAGACAAGTCTCAGTTGATGGCTCTCCTTCACTTCAGTTCAGTTAGGTCTCAGTTGATTAATGGCTCTCCTTCACTTCAGTTCAGTTAAATTGTACCCTCCAAAACTGCATACTCATTGGCATTATGGCGCAGGGTTTCCACTTCATTAATGCTGCCATTGCTTCAGTATTGTGGCAATAGCACATTTACAGTACCATAAACCTAATGTACCCTAAATCTGTGTTCCTGAACCTTTGTTGGGCCATGGCACATATTTTATATTTGAAAACACCCACGGCACTCCACCAAACAGAAATACCACAAAAAGTTTCCAAAACTGACTTCACCAGAGAAGTGCATTTGCATTTATAGTTAAATATGTCCAAATTTACCTACATGTGAGTTAATTCAACTGTGGCTCCTAACAAACTCCTTATTTTTATCGTCACAATCACGTTCCCCTCCCAAATCATATATACATGGAATATGGACACAAAAAATAAGATAAATTAATGCAGGACATTGGAATTTCTTCTGAAATACTAAAACTCAACATTTTTTAGTTTTGCCATGAAATTGCTACGAAAAGCCTAACTTCCTGTTACTGAAAGCAGGGAACTTCTGCAGGATGTGAGGATTGACTTCCAAGGCCAAGATCATTCCGTGGGTTCATTGTGCCCTCCGTGGAGAACTTGTACCTGTCAAACATACATCTTGTTGAATGGAGACCTGCGAACTGAAGCAAATCACGTTGGCACTCCTCGAGAAATCTGGGAGGCAGCCGCAATGAATCACTACTCGCCACTCAGAGGGCAACAATAAATATCCACTAAACACATTTTAATGACTGGCACACTTGTGGCTTAGTCATTGCTATTAGTGAGAGTCATTAGGAAGTGAAGAAAACCAGCCCTCTGTTTAATGAATAAATGACACCAACAGATGTTTTGGATTTTCCAACCACTTTTACAGATAAATGTTTTTCTTACTGCCAACCACATAGTGTTAATTGTTGAGGAAAAAAACAAAAACCTTTCCTGTCCATTGCTGCGCCACAAATTTCCTGTTGGCTTTTATTTAAGACAGCCCCATGACCTGCTGCCTACAGTTTCTCTCCGTAAGGAGAATCTCTAAGCATTTGTCTGAGAACCTGACAAGCAGGAGAGTAAAGTAAATCTCTGCTGCAGCTCTGCTGCTGCAACCCTTCTCTCCTAAAGCACTGAATACCTCCCAGCTTATTTTTAATTCAGTCAACCGCACTGTAGCCACTACATGCATATCAAACTGTAGAGACCTGCTGCAGAAGGAATACAGCTCTACGGCTCCCCCCGCTGCAGCATCACAGCAACTGCAGACAGAGGGAGCAGCAGAGGGGCTACAGTGGGGAAAAAAAAAAAAAAAAAAAAAACATGTGAGAAGTGCTGAGCCGCTGAGAGGAAGTCGGACAATATTTGGACTGGAACAGACTATTGAAAAGGAAAAAGGGTGTGTGTGAGAGAGAAAGAGGGAGCAGTAAGCCAGGGAGGGGTAGGGAGAGCATGTGGGGGCCCATGGGGAAACAAGGAAAGACAAAAGAAGACAAGTGGGTGGTTGAGAGCACATGAAAGACTATTGAAAATTGAGGGTTGTACTGTTGCAACACAGTCTGTGCGTATGCACCAGGACCAGAGATCCCACATTCTTTGTTTTTCTAAACGTCTCTGGAAGCTCACACACGTGTGTCTAGCAGGGGAAAAAAAAGAGGCAGCACTCACGCTGGATTGCACGGAAACGTGGGCCGATGGAGGGCGAAGAGCCTGAACCCAAATCCGGAGAGTTGCGCCTCTTCTCCAGGCCGGGAGAAGCTTGTACTGTGATCTTATGGATGAAATCTGCAACACACATAAAAAGACATATTAAACTAACTGGGTGGCAGACAAACAGAAACATTGCGAAAGTAAATTAGAGCGGTCCTAAACAGAAAATTGCTGCCTGAGCACCGTTAATGTGCTTTGTGTTTATTTAATATAAAAGCAAAGGGCTTATATTTGTGTGAGGCTAGTGGTGTGTAGCAGTGCACTGTAAATGGTCAACAAGAGAACAACTGTACTTGATAATGTTCAATTACCGTCCGCTAACACACACACTTGCTTTAGTGGCCTTACTTAAAAAGAGCTGACAGTGTGTGAGCGTACAAATGTAAAGGTTGCAAAACTTGTCCTTGACTTCCTCAAATTGGATAAAACCCTACATCGGCTTCTTCAGTAGACTGTTCTCTTCATTCTTAGCTTAGTCAACAATTTTGAAGAAATTGTCCGTAGACAGAGGAGCGAGCGGACCGTGCACGATCACTTTTCTAAGAACGTCAAGGAACTATACTGTCCTTGGCATAGCAGAAAGGATTTCAAATCCACAACAAGACAAGGCCTTAATGTTTGCGCAAGAGGAGCAACGTGGCTGCACAAAGTAGTGATCTCGGCATAAAATATGAAAAGGCTAGCTCGATACAACCTTTTCATGCGCAATACAGTTACAACAACTTGGAGTACCTGCCGATACTGATATCAATACGAAATCTTCTATTCTCCTCCAGCACGCTGCGGGCTGTCGTAGGTATCGGACAGGCTACGGTTGTTTATTTCAATGTTCGACCCTGGAATTTTGACCAATATCGGACCGATACCGATCCGACTGTCTGATCGAGTGATCCCTAGTTACGATTTTGTTAAGAACAACAGCTAACACAAAAAGAACTTTTCTGTGTAGTATTACCTGTTGATAATAATAATAATTGAACTATATTGATCCCATATTTGGGAAATTCTTGTGTTAACAGCAGATATGCTGTCAACAGGCTGCCCCCAGCATGTGGTTTCTCTGGGAATCTAACCCAGGACTCTCCTCTAGTCTAGTCAAAATTGATCAGTAGAGACCCATTAAAGCGTGCAGAAGCTCTAGTCTAGTCAAAATTGACCAGTAGAGACCCATTAAAGCGTGCAGAAACTAGTTCTCTAAGACTAAAGAAAATATATTTTTTACCTGTGTTTGGATGTTAAATAAAGGGTTTAGTGAAAAACACAATACATAATACATTGCACTTTTAATTGCATTTTTTGGAAAACTTGGGGATGTAGTTCACTGCTAAGTGTGTCGAAAAGCATTGACCGACAAACCCTGGTGGACATCATTTGTAATAAATTATTCTCTCAATCAGTACTTCATTCCCTCACATTATAAACCATTTCCTCCGATTAGCATGTGCCTGATGAATCAATTTCCCTCTCCTCGTCTGTCATTTGCACCCTCGGCTTTTTAATTCCGTCCTCTTTCATCAGTGAGACCCCACATAAGCCACAAAACCCTGTTCCCACTCACTTGTGACTGACACAATTACAAGCGGTGGTCTAAAGTGAGAGTTTCAATGAGCACTGACAAGAGAGGCCGCAGGAGAGAGTGCTAATATGAATGGCTAATTTATTAATTATGTCATTGTAATCTCCACCATTTTAATTAAAGCTGCACAGGTTTGACCTGAGAACATTATAAGTGCCATTAGCACCAGCTGAAATGAGCTTGTTACTGATGGAGTTAGAATAATTTCAAAGTGAAAAACCAAAAGCACGGTTTAGTTTTGAGGTCAGAAAATTATTGCAGTATAAATGACTACTAGCTGAATAACTAAAAAGCAAAATAAATAACCACATTTTTCATTGAACCATTGTTGCAGAAAGCACAGATGTAGAGCAGGTAGTATGAATTTACATAGTATCAATAGAAAAGTAAATTTACTATTGTACTGTATATGGGTATAGATACATATGTATACGTACAAATATATACACATTTACTTACATATACATATATGTATGTACATAAACAAATGTCTATACATATATGCATATATATCCACATATATACACATACATATATGCATATATATACACACATATACAGATATATATATACATATATACGTATATATATATATACGTATATATATATATACACACACACATATATACACAAATCTATGCACTTAAGAAAAAAATGCTCCTCTTTAAAAAAAAAATTGTATAAATGACTTGATTTTCTTTCTGTATTTGTGAATTTTCAAAAAAACTTTTTGTAAGTTACATCCCTTATCAGGAAACAACGACAGGGAAGAGAAAGTTCTACAGCTTTAAGTTTATATTGACATAAAGTGATTCCAGAGCTCTTTATGCTGTTAATCTCTTCTCTCTTTTCATATTATGTTACAATAAAACTCAGACATGTTAGGATTCTTTGGTAACAACTATATTTCATTCATGTTTAACATGTCTTCTAGTCTCTCTATGTGACTCTTTAACCTTCTTTTTATTTTGCCTGAAGAGCAGGAAAATGTATTTTAAGATATTATATTATTAAATATTGAACATTTGTTCAATGACAAAACTTTCAATTCACACGCTTTTCTAACATCGCAATTCGGGAAATATTGGTTTTCATAACTTCTATGAAATGGAGGATCAAGTGAAGTCTACTCCACAGGAAGCAAAGTGCAAGAGCACAGCGGATGAAGAGACAAAAACAAACCCACTGTGGTTTAAAGAGGAAGAAAAAGAGGAGACGGTCAGAAGGGAAAGAAAAACACTAGACAGGGAGAAGAGCGGGAGGACAAGGGTGAGGGAAGATCACGAAAAAAAGAGTGAGAGAGAGAGCGGGGCCAGCCGGCAGCAGCGTATTCATGGACAGGAAGTGCTGAGGCGTGGTTGGCTCGCTCGCCCCTCTCATCAAACCCCCACCACATCACTGCCCTGCTGCTGCTGCTGCTGGGAAAAGCCTGACCACAGCGCACACATACATACACACAGTGCATATTCACGCATGCTTGCTCAGCCGAAAATATATTTGCACACATTGTAACACAGCGCATGAGTTGCAGCGGCTTGTGACTTTGACACAGTCGTAGAGGACGGAGCAGGAACAGCAGCCAACTGAGCGTGAAAGAGGAAAAACGAAAACAACAAGTGTCGGCTGGAGCTGACACAGAGTCAAAGTGACGGATTTTAAATATAAACAAACTTAAAATCTCTTATAACTTAGTTTGTTAACATACACTAACAAATGGAGAGAAAGAGGGAGAGGCACACACTCCAGTCCAGTAGGAGGCGGGGATGCATGCATAAGACTATATGGCCCAGCTTGTTGCACTGGTAGTTTTGTTTTCATCTTTAATACAAATAGTTTGATCTGAATAGCTTCGCCTGTTAGTGTCAAATGTGGCTGCAGCTAATGGCGAAATGTATCGATTGGTATCTGACAACCAGAATGTTCATTTTGTCCATTCTAATCTCTCTGGGACACTTGAGGTAGAAGTAGGTAAAATATTGATTCAATTTAATGCTTCTTTTTGCTTTTGCTTTTGATTTGTATAATTTGTGAAACTATGAATGAAAAGCTTAGAACAGCTGTTGGGGGGAAAGCAACGCACGAACCTTGTGGCATGCTGATCTTCTCTCCATTCTTGCACTTTAGCTTGTGTTTCTTGAAGGTGCCCTTCCTCTTCTTGACATTGGGTTTCTCCTGGTTCTGATTCTGGTTCAGGTGGAGGATGAGGAGGCTGAGCTCTCGTTCAAAAACATCCTGCTCCCACTGTGCCAGCTGCTGCTCGCGCAGCCTCAAGAATTCCTCATGGGACTTCTGCTCCAGAGCGGCCCTCTTCAGCTCCTCCTCTCGGCACCGCAGTTCCTAAAGGGGGAGAGAAGTAGTGAGGATTACCTGCTTTATTAGTTCCAGTTTATTTGTTTATCCAGGTCAAGTCTTAGAGCATACGTGTCAAACTCAAAAACCTGGGGCCAAATGCGTCCCGTCAAGCCGTTTTGTGTGGCCCGCAGGAGTTTAAAAACTCCACGCAGCAGAGTTTCTTAACCTAAGAAATTAAACGTTTTTTTATTACACAGCAATGAACAATATTTGTAGCTTGAATAAATAATAATCAGTTGCAGAAACTTGTCTAGAGCACAGCGGATGAAGAGACAAAAACAAACCCACTGTGGTTTAAAGAGGAAGAAAAAGAGGAGACGGTCAGAAGGGAAAGAAAAACACTAGACAGGGAGAAGAGCGGGAGGACAAGGGTGAGGGAAGATCACGAAAAAAAGAGTGAGAGAGAGAGCGGGGCCAGCCGGCAGCAGCGTATTCATGGACAGGAAGTGCTGAGGCGTGGTTGGCTCGCTCGCCCCTCTCATCAAACCCCCACCACATCACTGCCCTGCTGCTGCTGCTGCTGGGAAAAGCCTGACCACAGTGCACACATACATACACACAGTGCATATTCACGCATGCTTGCTCAGCCGAAAATATATTTGCACACATTGTAACACAGCGCATGAGTTGCAGCGGCTTGTGACTTTGACACAGTCGTAGAGGACGGAGCAGGAACAGCAGCCAACTGAGCGTGAAAGAGGAAAAACGAAAACAACAAGTGTCGGCTGGAGCTGACACAGAGTCAAAGTGACGGATTTTAAATATAAACAAACTTAAAATCTCTTATAACTTAGTTTGTTAACATACACTAACAAATGGAGAGAAAGAGGGAGAGGCACACACTCCAGTCCAGTAGGAGGCGGGGATGCATGCATAAGACTATATGGCCCAGCTTGTTGCACTGGTAGTTTTGTTTTCATCTTTAATACAAATAGTTTGATCTGAATAGCTTCGCCTGTTAGTGTCAAATGTGGCTGCAGCTAATGGCGAAATGTATCGATTGGTATCTGACAACCAGAATGTTCATTTTGTCCATTCTAATCTCTCTGGGACACTTGAGGTAGAAGTAGGTAAAATATTGATTCAATTTAATGCTTCTTTTTGCTTTTGCTTTTGATTTGTATAATTTGTGAAACTATGAATGAAAAGCTTAGAACAGCTGTTGGGGGGAAAGCAACGCACGAACCTTGTGGCATGCTGATCTTCTCTCCATTCTTGCACTTTAGCTTGTGTTTCTTGAAGGTGCCCTTCCTCTTCTTGACATTGGGTTTCTCCTGGTTCTGATTCTGGTTCAGGTGGAGGATGAGGAGGCTGAGCTCTCGTTCAAAAACATCCTGCTCCCACTGTGCCAGCTGCTGCTCGCGCAGCCTCAAGAATTCCTCATGGGACTTCTGCTCCAGAGCGGCCCTCTTCAGCTCCTCCTCTCGGCACCGCAGTTCCTAAAGGGGGAGAGAAGCAGTGAGAATTACCTGCTTTATTAGTTCCAGTTTATTTGTTTATCCAGGTCAAGTCTTAGAGCATACGTGTCAAACTAAAAAACCTGGGGCCAAATGCGTCCCGTCAAGCCGTTTTGTGTAACCCGTGGGAGCTTAAAAACTCCACGCAGCAGAGTTTCTTAACCTAAGAAATTAAACGTTTTTTTATTACACAGCAATGAACAATATTTGTAGCTTGAATAAATAATAATCAGTTGCAGAAACTTGTCTCAGTCTGGTATGGAGTAGTTCCATCTATACCAGCAGTCTCCAACCTTCTTTGTTCCAAGGACTGGTCAGCCAGTACCACCCGTTACTACAGACTGGTACCAAGGTGCTGAGTATTACATTTTTTTAAATTAAACATCTTTCAGACTCTATTCTGTTTGTATCAGAGTCTGAATTAAGTATTATTTTAAAATGTTGACAGATTATCTTTAAATAAAGAAAGTAAATGGATATGATTGGATTGTAAAAATGCCCCGATACCAAATGACCTATGGACTGGTCCGCGGACCGAGGGTTGGTGACCCCTGAGCTGTACAGACTTACATTTACAACCGGCCGTTCAAGGGGAACGGAATAGTGTTTGATGTCACTGGAGGACAAGAGACTTAACATTAAACACTGTGCATGAAATGGTAGAGCTGAAATGTCCAAGGTGTCTCTAAAGTGCTGTTTTTAGAGTTTAACTTTACATTCATACATTTTTAGGTATGAATGTAAAGTTGTAATTCTGGCTATAATAGTTGCTCTTTACTCACCCATCCATTTTCTGAATTGCTTACTCTTTAAAGGTCGCAGGAGGAGGTGTAGCCAGTGCCAGCTGAAAGCGGGCCAGCTTCCCTGCTGCTATTTCTCCATGAAATGTTGGCTGATTTTTTTATTTTTTTCACTTTATAATTAGGAAATTACCAGGTAAATGTTTTCATTATAAATATACAGTAACAATATATGGTATCATATATTAACCTTTTATTAATTATTATATATGCATATATATTTATACACATATTTATATGTTACAGGGAATAAGAATAATAAGAATAACTGCTCCAACTCTTCAGTGACAGCTCAGTTTAAAATGATTTCATTTTATTCTTTTCAATTGTTCGTAATTTATTCAGCATTAATAAAAAAAAAAACGTAGATAAATCCGATTTCTCTTACTTTTTCTTTGGCCCGGAGTTCATCAAACATGTCCTGGATCTCCAGCTTCCAGTCCTCCTGCAGGGAGTGGAAAGAGTCCTGAGGCATCTCCTCCTTCACCTGCTGCTCTAGTGCCGTCAGCTGGTCCAGGATGGAGCTGAAGTTGGGTCTGTAGTGGGGATCTTGGTCCCAGCACTCTGCCAGGAATAGTACAGACTTAAGGACTGCCAGGATTGTTGTGCATACAAGTGCATAATTCAATTAAAAGATATGTCGGTTAACCTGCTTCTAACAAAATAGTCTGTAGTCTGTAACAGAATTGGATATGTCCTACTCTTATTTCTAGGTCAATTGACCCTGTAATAGAGGCAAAGTTTCAGCAGATAAGACTCAGATCAGATTAGATTAAATCAAATTGAATTAGCTAGCTAGATAGATAGATAGATAGATAGATAGATAGATAGATAGATAAACAGACAGACAGAGACAGACAGACAGACAGATTATAGATAGATGGATGGACGGATGGATGGACAGACAGATAGACAGACAGTCAGACAGATAGATCTAGAAGAACAAACAATGTCATCATAACATAGTGGGTTTGACTTGGTCAAGTAATCTGTAACCTGAAAAATCAGTAGCTAAACTATGCGGCTGCATTGAAGAAAGTATGATTTCAGTCTTGTTTTCTTATAGTTGACGGAAAATCTGGTTTAGGGGGAAGTTTCACTTCTGTGGACACATTCTTTGAATTAGGGGACACAAAAAAAGGAAGTTGCTCACTTATTCACTGCATAGCTCACACGCATTGATCTGTACTGAGACTCAGTTTAACAAGCATTATAATTAAGTTTCATTGAGTCAAACAAAACAAAACTTGTTGTAACAAAAATTCACAAGTTATCTGAAACGCCTGTGAAATGCATCTTATCGCCGCATAAGAATTTGGATGTGTTGTAAGGCATTTAAAAAAAACCAAAAACAATTAATTTTAGAGCCACTGATCTAAAGACTAGGGGTTTTCTGCACTTGTCATTTGACAACATAAGTAAAAAGAATAGGTAAAATGAAAGGACAAATGCCTGTTAAATAAAGATCTGCTTGCTAGTTATCAGGGAGTCTCTTAAAATGTTACATTAACCATACGTTTAAGTATAAATTATGGCAAACATGCAGTAAGGGCCAGCACAACACACTTCCTCTCTAAACACAGGGCTTTCTTTTATAAATGTTAAAGCATATGTGGGGAAATGGGAGAGAGCATGTCCAGGACAAGAGATACCACAAGTACCACTACAGTTGCACTGCTAAAAATAAAGATAGAAGCCCTGGTGAGTATGTTCAGTCACGCTCCCAAACACAAAAACATGTGTTTCACCTGACATGAGGAGTGCAAAGGGCTCGGGGCATGTGGAAGGGATGGGCAATGTGAGCTTGTTGACAGCGACTCCATAGGCGACGGCAAGTCCATCAATTCCCTTGTAGGGAGCCTCTCCTGTTAACAGCTCCCACAACAGAACACCATAGCTGTGGAGGAAACACATTCACCATAAGGCAAGAGACTGGACACTTACACAGAAAAAGACACACACATACATACATGTCAATATATGTGTGTATACATACTGTATATATATATACATAAATAAATATATACGATATATATTAAGTATCCCCATGCAGCTAAAAAAAACTATCGAGATACAACTTTTATATCGCCCAGCCCAAGCCCAGGGGAAATTTCATTTTATAATTTATGATTTATTTTTTATTTTAAGTTTCATTTTGAACTGAAAGCCTTGTTCACATGCTGTTCACCTAACATAGAAAGTGCAATAAAAACATGTTTTACCCAACATAATGAATAACCGTAATTTATAGTCACAGCGATCCATTCTCTGTTTTCAGTTCTAGTGACAACCGTCACATGTGCACATTGTGCAGTAGCATTGCAAGGGTGACTCAGTGGAATAAAATGGCAGAGCCAAGTCTGTCCTCAAGTTTGGCTCCAAAACATCCGAAGTTTGGGAGTGGACTACTTTACACGTAAACAATTTCAAACCTTGTTTATTTTTAATGTTATTTAATGTGCCGTGGTTTACAGATCTTCAAAACACTGGACAAAATTATTTTTTATAGTAAATAAAAACAGCAAAGACAATATATTTTTATTTATATTTATGGCTCTATTTATTTATTGGCTTAGTATACCATAAGAGCCATTGTATATTCATGCAAATGACCTGGTTATTTCTTTAAAAAGGAAAAGATTAGGCGATAAATCATTTCAAACATCGGTGACTAATCGACCTTTAAAACAGCAGTTTGTTGCAGGGCTAGTTTCGGTCAACAGAAAGCAGAGCTAAAACATTAGCATCTCAAAAAAATTGCCCAGACACATACCAGCCTAAAGGCAGATGTGGAATGCATCATTTGCATTTCGTCAAGTATAACCGGCCTTTGTAGGCTGTTACACTTACATACCTTTCCTTTGCACCACAGAATATACCCTAGACATTATTGTAGCACTGACAGCAAAGTGCCAAGACTTTGCTTAGGAACATTTTGCTTGATGAAAGCTGCGATCGCCAAGCGTTGGGAATTCATGCATACAAAGTGTGTACACTTAGAACACAAGTATGCACACATACACAAAACAGGGTTTTGGAGCCCACACAATGGGAGCAGCCCTAAGTCCTAAGAAGATGAAGCACGGTGCACAACTTGGATCTCCCACACTGTCAATTAGCCCTCGCCCGGACCTGACTGAATGCAGCGTTGAGGCCCGCTAAGTGGAGAGCCAGGCCGCAGCCCTTTTTATTTAGTTCTCTAATTACAATGTCTACACACTGTGACTGCTCAGAGACGGTGCTCGTCGGATCGCCCTGAGGCGCTCCTCGTCTCAGCGTGGCAGTTGCGGGGACGAGCAGCCATGGACAAATGAGAAAGAATAGTAGAACAAAGATTACCCTTTATTTTCAGAGCCGGACCGGCCCGGGCCGCCCGCTTCTTCATTTCACTGTTTTCTAGATTGTGCACTGATTGCTGTGAAAATTAGGTTGCGTGGGTTTGTTGTGGTGGAGGGATACAAGCTGTGTGCGATGGTGAGATAGCAGAGAACCTTTTAAAATAGTACGGGCAAACTGTATATTCCCCCAGATGTCCTTTAAAGTAACAATAGCAAGAACAAGCAGACATCACTGCCGAATCCTCTCTTGGTTCACAGTAATGCTTTCAAAACTGCTCCCTTTCACAAAAGCTCTGTACGGGTTTAAAAACCCCATTACAAAGAAACGATACGCTCTAAATCCACAGGATTAAAATGAAACCACGGAATAAAGAAGTACTTTAATGAACAGAAATGGGAGTGCATCGTTGCTGTAATTATTAATGTTTGCACTTCTTATTAAAAACATAGGAATTACAAGTATTTATGAAACGCTTATGGCGCGTTATATGAGCAAACACACACCCAGATTAAAAGGCCGTGGTTTGGGCTGCTGTGTGGCCTACTTCTCTGTCTGTACTTCAGACAATGGGACAGTGTGCAACACACATGTCCCACAACAAAGCACAGAGAAGCTCTTTGAAGCCACACCATCACATGGCAGTGGCAACTCCATCCATTAATCTGTCCGTCCCTCTTCCCCCCCCAACTTCATATCTATACACTTTTCCCTTTTGTTTCTGACAGGATTTCTTTCCAAAGAAACTTCACTGTCCTGTCTCTAAAACTGAGGACGGTAAATATGTAACGCTGGATGAATATTGTGGGATTCATTCAATGACAGTAGTAGGATGGTTACTTTTTTGCCATCACGTTTGTTTTTTTTCTTCCTCGAACAAAATTTCATACCTGATCAATCAGATGCTAGCTGTAGATTAATCGCGATTTATAGTGAATAGATCCACATTCCTAAATATGACAAGAAGAAATTAATATATTGCTGGAACAGAAAGACAAATAACAGCTGGTACAAGAGGACCTCAGTTTACAACCTCGACCTACAACATTTTGTGGTTACGTTGTCATCTCCCAAAAATCTATTGAGAAAGTTTTGATGCATCATTCCGACGTTCGGTGTTGAAACAAATTCCGCACGGTAATTAGTTGGCGAGCAAAACGGACAAATACGTCGTCACGTAGTACGATATGCGTAAGACGGCTTTCTTTACATTCGACAATGGTACACCATAGATTAGATTGTGCTACATTCGCAAATGTAAGTCAGACTTTTCTGATGTTTTTGTCCTAGATTATGATGTTACCACTGTGTTAGCTTAGGTGAGTGACATTGGTACCATGTACAGTATGTAAGTTCCGAATTACATAAGTCGAGGGCCCCCTGTAAATGTATGTGTTTCACACCTGGTTTTATTCACAACTTAGGCATATAATGTATGGATTTATGGATGAATTTTTAAGAGTCATTTTAATGTTAGATTCAACAAATACGGATTATTATTCAGATCAAAGCAAACAACATTACTGCCGAGTCAATTATAAAAAAAAGGAAAACAAGAAAACATCAGTGTGTTCTCTGCAGGTTTTGTCGTATGAGTGGACTGCATTTTGAGTTTTTAATAATCTGGACACTGTTTTTTTTTTCTAGACTCATATTGTCTTCATTTGCTCATGACCTCGACAAATAAAGTTCATAATAATTACTGTTATAGCTTCTCAGAGTATAAAAACACAATATGCTGAATTAATGTCAGGAAACTGTGGAAACTTTTAATTCAAACATCCTTGTGAAACTCACGCTACTTAATTCCTCTCACATCGAGACGTCTGTCACCATGGAAACATTAATATTCATCTGGTGGCAACTTTTATCAGATAACTAGGCCTGTGGTTTATTTATTGTCACTTTTTAAATGTCAGAAACATAACTCTTTTTCTGGTGACGCATGAAAGATGCAGTTTTGGAGACAAGCTGTGACCTTTCGGGCATAAAATTCTCTCATGATAAAGCATTAAGATGATGATTTTCTCTTCACCTGCCCAACCTTTATATTTAGATTAAATGTTCAAGAGTTTTATCAATCTTTAGAGCTAACTTTAGGCAATAAAGCAAAGGGAATTTTTAAAACATTAAAGTTGTTCTCTAAGATAACATTGCTCAGTCCATATCCTCATTTTTTTCAGGGTCCACAACAGGCTTTTGTTAACCTGAATACCTTGCAAGCACACCTGGGCACATTTTTAAAAAATCCTGGCGTCAGATCAACTGAATTCCATTGTAAATTAGACAGGAATGAAATAGGGCTGAGCTTTTATAAACATACAGTAGACACACTTTAACACACACAAAGGGCCTCACCTCCAAACATCGCTGCCCTTGGAGAAGGTGGAGGACTTGATGACCTCTGGGGCCATCCAGGCATAGGTGCCAGCCGTGCTCATCTTGGTGGTCTTGTGCCACTCTCTTGCCAGACCAAAGTCGGTGATCTTTAACGTCAAGCCCTCCATGCACTCATTCTCTATGGGCTGAGCCAGGAGAACTAGAGGAGAAAACAAATACAGAGAATGAATACAAAAAAAGGAAAGATTGTAAATGGTCATTTAAAAACTCTTTCTTGAGCAGGGGTTTCAAACTCACGGCCCCTTAAGGTTTTTATTTTTATATATATATACAGTATATTTTAAATAAAATTAGTTTAATTGGTTTTTTAAGAATGACTAGAAGACAGCAGGGGTTTGATTCCATCCGCTTAGAAATCTAGTTCTGTTTACTAAATTGGGACTTTTTTTGTCAACAGACCAAGACTAAATTAAAATAAGGTGTCAAAATAAACACTGCTATCTGCTAATGTTTACCCACAATGCACCTCTGACCCAATAAATTGGTCATAATTAGGTTATTGGCAGCAGAGCATGGCGATAATATGTTTGTTTTCCTAACAGGCTAACTGTAAAGCATTGTTTACCACTGACGCTGAGACATGATGATTTGTGTGACTAGGACTACAGCCAAACTCATTTGTCCACCCTTAAGCTCATTTGCGTCATCAGTAATCTTGCTCAACATGTACACTGCCAAATAAAGAGGAAGCTACTAAATTAAATATCCACCGTCTCTAAACCAATGGGTGTAAAAGTATTAGGGAATGAAACTTGAACTTATAATTACATTTCATTAAGTTATTTACATTAATATGGAATAATTTTCACAATTTTAGATCCCGTACAAGGTCAGTAAAAGTAATGGGAAACAACAATGGGCAGATGAAGACAGCATACAAAAAACCATGTACTGTTCATGCTTGTACTCTAACCTACAATACTTTATATGACACACGCAACCAGCAATTCTAACGCCAATGCCCTGTCACATGAAAACAAACCACACCACACGTACATCACAAGTTAGGATCACAGCATTTCCCAGACTACCACACCTCCTACCCAATAAATAGAAATCATAATTTTACATTCAGAACAATAGCACATGACATTGATTCGGTGCTTGTTTTCGTGGAAACACACCAGAGGTGCAAGGTGGAACAGGTTTGTTGGCCTGATGAAAAGGAAGTAGCTTACATTGAATTTACAGTACATTCATTAAGGAGATATGGAGATATGTATTGTACTGTGTGTCTTGGACTTTTTGAATCATGTTTCTCCTATGCTGCTGTTTTTACATGAAAATGAAATACGGAGACTGTGACATTTCGGACATTCAATGCTAGGGCATCACATCTTCAATTGTTTCATATTGGAATTACATGAGGCTCATCTTCTCGTCCTTTCAGTTCCATAATTCATGACCTGGCATTGTATTTGCAATGTGAGCCATTGTAGCAATAAATATGAAAGTAACTCGTGAATCAAAAGCAGTCCGAGTCTTAACTCTTTACTCAAGTTCATTTCACGCTGCGTCATACACAAATTAACTTTGACATCTTTTTCGGTGCAGACTCAAGGCTTTAATAGCTGCGCAGTGTCAATAGATTACAAACAGTAATTTCATGGCAATCTAGTTGGCATGGTGGTGTTGAAAATATGTAATGAGCCTCTGGCTACAGAACAGCATTTGTCCATATGTCCGAATATCAGAATTGTCTTTTGTAACCAAAGTGCTACAAACTTTCAAAAAAAGTAGAAAAAATAAAATACTATTATAATAATAATTTGTTTCACAGACTAAGAGCAGCAAGTGAAAAGGGATGACTCCTTCACAGACTGAGAGCAGCAAGTGAAAAGGGATGACTCCTGGTTATATACCTGGTTCTAGGCACTTCCAATAAAAGCTGATTTTGACATAAATTCCATCTTCTGTCTTCAAATAATTTTAAAATTATTCAAGCGAAATGGGGCACTGTCATGTAGGGATTTAAAAAGCCAAAAGACAAAAAAAAAGAAACAAATCATGATGACATGACTGTCAGCTTGTGCCATTCAAAAGGAGGACAAGCGGGAGTCGAATCAGAGATGACTGTAAAACAGCAACAAAGTGCATTGTAATCATCTGTTCTAGAACTAAAAAAAGTGCAAATAGCCTGTTCAGGATAAGGGCGGTCAGGAACAGTTTGACTTTGGCTAAAAGGCAAGCTTTAATCATGTTATCCATCTGTACGTATCAGCCAGACATGGTAACATATTGGGTAAGACTTGAGAAGTTGGGCCAGATGGATTTTAATCGACTCTCCTGGAGGACAACGAACTTTCTCTGACAGCAGGCGTGTCACACATACAGCACGGAGACTGCAGAGCTCATTACCCATTCATATTTCTCAAGCACAGAACACAGCGCAGCCGAGCAGGAATACACTGTGCGCTCCAAAGTGCCCAGAGCAACAACAGAAAACCAAACCGCTTAAGTGTGTCAGAATGAATAAACACTGTTTCCAAATCAAACACTGCTCTCGTGACAGACCTAACCTCAACTAATCAAATGAAGGGAACTTAATGAATAAGTGCCGTTTGAACACACTTAACTGGATCAGTAAAGATTCACAACACTAACGAAGTAGAGTTTCTCATAAATTCTCAAAAGATCAGATGATTGTTAATTAAGTCTGAATGAGATGAGTGGGTATAACGCACCTAAGACACAACAAGAAAAATGCTCCAGGCAGCAAAAGCCTCAGTCCAGCTGCTCCTGCTAAAACTAGACACTAAAATAATTCTAACAATGACACGAGTCTATCAACACAGATGTTATCAAAATGGGGGGTTAGAGTTATATTTTCTTCCTTAAATGACAATATCAGTCTTTAAGGACTTACAGTAATTCAAATTAAGTTCAGTAGAGTTCTATGATTTTATTGACATGAGTCCTATCAACAAAAAGGTGGATTGCAGAAACACAGATGTCCATCCATCCATCCATTGTCGTCCTCTTATCCATTACCAGGTCGCGGGGGTCAGCAGTCACCACCCAAATCACACGGCACCGTACCAACCCCCAGAACCTTCCTGCGGGTGGTGAGTCCACTGGAAAAACACAGATGTGTGCTGCCCAATATAAAAAATAAAGACAAACAAAGACCTGTTGACAAATATTCTATATTTCGGTGATACAGGAGAGCAGTCTAAATTTAGAGGCTCTGTGAAGAGGGATTAAATGCTAAAAGATTTAGTCTGTAATCTGTTTGCAAAGGCACTTTGTCTTATCAGTTGTCATACTCTCAATGCTGTGATAGCCATCAATAAATACATCGGCTTAGGAAAAATAATCCTGGGTCTTCGCCACCATAATATTGTTATAAATACAACCAAGCTGTCATATCTGTAGCTTAACTGTCACAAAAGTTTATCATCACTACGTGATGAAATTGTGGATTCCTGTATAGTGAGGAATTCACAATAGCTATAACCTACTAGTACTACAGTACTAGTAAGGGGTAAAAGTACTGCCAGCATTGTTTCAAAAGTACAACTGAATGCACTATATAATGTTTGTGCACTGGACTGTTTCAAGAGGTTGATGTTGTGGCCTAGGCTCTCCACAACACAGTGAAACAGGAAGTGACAATGTGTTTGGTCTGCATGTCAACTCACACACTACCCTGTTTTTTTTAAGTAGCCACAGAGATTTCGTTTTAACCAAAGAAATATAATGAACATTTCAGGGAATGAAATTTTTACCACACAGATTTTTTTATGATATATATTGTATAGTAGATCTAGTATGGTACGTTAAAAAAACTTAATGAAACTCTAGATCTACTATAATTGGTAGTGTTTTGTTCTCTTTACTTTTCTTTAATTACGCTTCATCTCCTCTTTAACACTGCAAACAACTTAATAACACTGATTAGAATCTTGACCCCCTATCACAGCACAATCACTAAGTGGATTTACCAGGGATTATAACTCAAGAGAAGCTCAGTCAGATAAGAAGGACTTCCATGAACTGATCCAAAATATAGAAGTTATAAATCCAAAAATGAGACAGTTCACTGCAGCAATACGTTATCATCTACATTCATGAAACCAGTTCATAAAACCAGGGAGTGCTACGACATATTTGACAGACAAGAGAATAATGTTAAAGTTTCTGTTATTGAGTGGCTTTACATCACATGCCTCAGTACAATCCGCAGCTGTCCTCCTCTTCCCCTTTGCCTACAGGCCGGGCACAACTCAGTGCAAGGCTGGCCGTCAAGCATGGGGAAGGGAAGCTGCAAAGAATTTGTATTATAATAGGGAAGTTGGACTCATGCTATTTGCAGTCACTTTCTGACTTTTCTTTCGGTGTTGCTTCTTTTCCCCCTGCCCCACGTCTTTCTTTCTTTAGAAAAATTCCAATTTGTCTTGCTTCTACTTCTTGTTTTCTATGACAGAGTTAAGATTTTAGTGTTCTTCCCTTCACTAAGAAGCCCAAATGTCCCTTTCTTCATTGTCTTTGTCTCTGTATCTTTCTCTCAGACATCCTGCCTCACAGCCCAGAGGCAGTGCATTTGACGTCATAAAGGAATGCATCACAAGAGGTTGTGTTGTCTGCTCGGCATTGTGTGCGTGTGTGGGAGAGAAGGTTCTTTCCTAATGTTCTTGGAACGATCACTCTTGCATGTTTCGTTGAAACTAGACCTTAAGATACTTTTCGCGATGACAGGGTTGAATTTGTATTCAATAAAAAGCTTTTCTTCCTCAGATGTAATATAGACTCGTTGATGGCGTCCGGCTACCGAACTAGAGTTAGAGTGATGTCAGGTTAGGATGATGCTGCTACTTCTACGTCAGGATAACAACATCTTTCTCTCGATCCATCTTCTAACGTTTAGCTCAAACACTTATCGCCACTTACTGATAAGATTTTGACAGATTAAACGCGTAAAGTTCCCCATCTCCAACCAGCATTGTGTTACTGTAGCCAGCTTGTCATGCACTCCCTATCTCACTCAGGTCGTCTCAGTCCGATAACATGCTCCATCACCCTCACACTGGCACTCAGGTTCTGTTGATAAACTGTCTTTCAATAGAGACGGACAACATGACTAATGAATCGGCACGAGACATTTCATTTCATCAGTCCAGGGAGGTTAAAGAAAGGGAA